ACTTTACCTACCCCAAAACCCCAAAACCCCATTTAAGTAAATTAAGCTTAAATAATGATTTTTAAAATATCAAAAAATACATAGAACTAAAATACACATAATAAGGCAGATGTAACTTAGAGTTGAGAGAGCATTTGATAATATACTTTTGCAATAGGTAAAGTATTCGTAAAAAAAAGGATGTACTCTCATCAGTGAATGCAAGCAGTCTGGAATGTTTATCAAATCTACATATAATTTAGCCTTTAACTCAGAACATTTGAAGTCTTAATAAAACTGATTTCCATTGCATGAATTAAATCCCTCTGCTGAGTGGCAGTCATAACTTCTTTCGTAGTATTTTTAGAACTAAAATTATATTAAAAAAGGATTTACCTTTGTAAAAACATCAGTCCATTCATCATCTCCTCCTTCAATGTCGCAATACTTAGTTCCTTTAGCATTGTGACCACATTTACAAGAAGCATATTTTTAAGGATCTGTTGTCGGGCAATCAAGATCTGAAGTACATACTTTACCCTATTTTCAGTGATAATACAACTCTAAATAATTACTTTATTTTTAGATTTTAAGCCTGAAGAGCATCTACCAGAGGTAACATTCAGGAACCCAGATCTGCAAACCTTTTCAAAATCACTTTGATAGACGAATATGTTTGAATCTATTTCAGCCATATCTGCTTTGTACATAGGAAGTACCAAGCTGTTGTCGGATTGAGACAATATCTATTTGCATGTTCCATAAGTTGAAAGTGTGGTCTCAAAAATGCACATTCCTTTTCTTCCACATGCTTCATTTTAAGTGCACCTCTCTCCAAAAGCCTTCTCTCTAACACATCGACCTCCTTCATTGCAAAACATTCCGAAATAGCATTCGGAATTGTAATTGCAATTGTCATAAAGTTAAATACCTGCGCAAATACCCTCATTTTTACAACTAAATCATTATTTTTAAAATTTTACTATTTTGGTCCAAATACACATTAAGAGGAAGATGATGATTGTGAGCATTTGTATCCAGGGTACAAAAAGTCTGGAAAATTATAATTAATCTTTGCCAAGCAATGTGATTCAGAGTCGTCCTCACTTATATAGCATTCTTAATCACCTAAAAATGCAGTTTAAAAAACCTCAATCGAATACTTACTACTGCAAGCATTTTCATTTATGTATATATTTGTGCCAGATTTGCTCGTGCATTTTGTGGTTGTTGACGAGCATACATAAGCATTACAAGTTGTTGTTTAGGAGAAAACTGAAGTTAGGAAATATGGTGAGAAAAGTAACAAAAGAATGAAAAATTATTAATTCATGTTTGCAAAATCAATATAATTTATTTAGAATTACAAAATTAAATCTCTATTTCACCGATTCGAAGTTATGGGGTTTTGGGGTTTTGGGGTTTTGGGG